ACAGCTGTAGCTAATCCGATTCCTGAGTACTCCACGTGTATAGTTCCTATATTTACAACCAAAATGTTGTAATTATGTTGGCCAAAGGGGTGTTTCCAATGAATAGGTCTTAGGTTTTGCAATCCAGGATGACTTCTATTACAAAACCATAGTTTCAATCCATTTGCCAGTAATTATCGATGCATTTTGAGTGTTTGCTTGTTCCATTTCGGACTGCAGCAGTTGATTAAACATCTTCCATTTCTTTATCTTCAACATTAGTGGTTGATATGTAAATAAGAATAATATCCTTATACCTGTGAGGATGATCAAGTAATATGAGCTTTATTCTATCGCTGGCCGTGTTGGATTTCAGGATAGGTCTTGGACTGGTTTTCTGTAACGAATGGGATGCCATTCCCAGCATGTGATCGATTCAGAATGGAATGATCCATTTCAAAAAGAGCCTATCCATGCCAGTCCACTAACGTCTAGAATATCAATCTTCACCATTCCATTTACTTACAACTTCTAGTTTTCCTAGGCTCATACTCCGTAAACTCCATATACCAATTATAATGGAGGTTTGCAGCTGTTGCTTCTCATTTGGAATCATGCCCCGTCAGCAAATGAAGGTCCCCAAAGCTTTGCTCCATTAAGACTCACAGGGCTTTGAGGAGGCAGCTCTACTCCAGCCATGTTCCAACCTGAGGGGTTCATCTTCCATCACTGTATCACATATTGTTCCAATCTTCATAAGGTTTTCACTGGTCAGTTTTTTCAGAAGTAAATCATTGAGTCCTGGTTCCTAGTCTATCTTAGTTTGAGCTAGCATATGGTAAATATTTGGTAATTACTGTCTGCTTTAATATTTTCCATCGTCTCACCCTGCCCTAGGGGGCAGGGTTATTAATGAATGCATGGACATGGAATAGCTCTTTGCCCTCAGAAAAGGTTATATTGTCTGGCAGAGGAGACAGACACAGACAAGGAATGGCAAGTGTGGGGAGCAAGGCTATGGAATGAGAAGGGGAGGGACATGGGAGCTCCCCTGAGGGGACCCCTGAACTCTAGGTGGCCCCACTTAATCCCTCTGTGGTGAAGCTGACAAGGAGAATGGATTAGAGTTTCTCTTTCCTCCTGTTGCTGCTGTTAGCTGCTGCGGCGGAAACACCAGCGTGGTTGGATTCAGACTGGACCGGTGTAATCCATAGGGCTGACACTGGCTGATTTTCAGAAGTAGATCACCAGGCTTGTCTCCCTGCCTGCCTCGGTCTAGACGCTCCACTGAAACCTTTCAGCCTCACAGCATCCACTGGCAGAGATGTGGTGATGGCACACAAGATACACTGGCTGAGACCTGAGTCTCCTGCATGGAGGGCAAGGATACGACCCCTGGGCCCCCACTGCCACCTCTCTTGGGGAATCTGGATTGAAGACATACTGAGAGCTGTGGTCAGCACACAACAACAACAATAGCAAGATGCAGGTCCCAGAACCCCACAGCCACCCATAGGAAGCATTGCATGTGAGTGGAGGGGCAATGCCGAAGGATGCGGGTCTCATGAATCCTTGGAATAAACCCCAAGAAGAGAGGTCACTTCAGTGTGCTCCTGATGCCTGCAGCCTGGGAAAAAAACAGGGACCACGAGCCAGTGAGCAGCAGCAGCGTCATTCTGTGAGGGAAATCATTCCAGCAGAGCCAGAGTTCAGAGGTCACTCTGTCAGCTGAAAAGGATCTGGAATGAGAAAAGAAACCCCCAGGAAAACATTTCCCAGAATCCATACAGGCATCATGACTCCGCTCTTGCAGACATTCAATTGGTATGAATCATTATTCACTCTTCTTTTTTATTATTTCAAAAAAAAGAATAAGTCGCTTTTCAGAAATTGGTATTGCAATACCAGGAAGAAAAAGATTCCTAACAGATCTGGTGCCAAGCCCACATGGGAGAAGCACAGCAGCCGGTGGGATCACGAGGTGCTGTCGGGACCGGGGAACAGGCATCAGAAGACCCCTAACAAACCAACCAACCAACCAAAATAACTAAACTGGTGAGAACAAGGGAGTGGGAGCAGAGACCCAAAGCCCATCTGTAGACAGTGGGACATCCCCTCACAGAGGGGTCACAGGGAAGGGGTGAGTCAACAGGGCGCAGTAAAGTACCAATGAAACACACAATATTCCTCTGGTTTCTTGAGTTTTCCCCACCCACCACTCTCATGACCCCAGTGCTGCCTTTCACTTCGGGCTATACCAGAGCATGTGCACAGGTACAGATACGAGATAAGCGCTCATGACACATGGAATCCAGAGCAGGAATGGGACTAGCAATACCAGAAGGGTAGGGAAAAGGTGGGGAGAGGAGGGGAGGAGGGGGAAAGAATCAAAATGATCAGCACATAACCGCACTCGCTCCCCCTCCAGGGGGACAAACAACAGAAACCATGGGAGAAGGGAGACAGTGGTTGGTGGGAGATATGGAAATAATCATAATTCACCATCTATCAAGGGGTCACAAGGGGGTGGAGGGAGGGAAAAAAGAGGAGCTGATACCAAGGACTCAATAGAAAGTAAATGTCTAGAAAAGAATTATGGCAAAAAAAAAATAAAAATAAAGAATTATGGCAACGTATGTACACATATGCTTGATACAACTGATGTATGGATTGTTGTAAGAGTTGTAAGAGCTCCCAATAAAATAATCTTTTAATTTAAAAAAAAGCAAACGGGAGATGATGACGTGAAAGGCTGAGTAGAAGGTTTCATCGGTCAGCTCCATAAGCCAAAGTATAACACCTCCAGAGATCTGAAAGCCCAAATGGAAGAACATGCTCAGCACACCGCAAGCTGAAAGGACTGAGGAAATATCCAAGCCCCGGGTTACAATACTGAAGGATTCTGTGGGCCAAATACTGAACCACACAGGAAGCATTGAGAGAGAATGGAATGAGTACACAGTCACTGAACCAAAAAGAGCTGGTCGACACTCAGTAATGTCAAGAGGTAGCACAGGCTCAAGATCCAAGGATGCCGAAGGAAGGAATCCAAGCTGCATGGAAGGTGCTAGCAGGAAAACACGTCTCCGGGAATGAATAGAATACCAATTGAAATGTTTCAAAAAGTTGGTGAGGCATTGAAAGCACGCACTCAGCTAGGCCAAGAAACTTGGAAGACAGCTGCCTGGTCAGCTGACTGGAAGAGATTCGTATTTGTGCTCATTCCGAAGAAAGGTGACAATATCATTAATAGCACATGAAAATTTTGCTGACGATAATTAAAAAATGGTTGCAGCAGTAACATTCTGGAGTGGCCAGAAATTCAAGCAAGAATCAGAAGAAGATATGGCACAGAGGGATATCATTGCTGATGACAGATGGATCCGGGCTGAAAGCAGAGAACACAGTAAGATGTTCACTTGCGCTTTATTGACCAGGCAAAGACATTTCACTGTGTGGATCATCACAACGGACTGAGTTGAGAAGAACAGGAATTTGCACGCTTAATTGTGCTCATCGGGAAGCTGCACATGGAACAAGAAGCAGTCTTCAAACAGAATAAGAGAATACTTCATGGCTTAACATCCAGAAAGGTGTGCATCAGGGTTGTATCCTTTCACCAGACTTATTCAATTTGTATGCTGAGCAGATAATCTGAGAAGCTGGGCTACATGAACAACTAGGCATTGGGATCGGAGGCAGGCTTATTAAGAAGGTGACGCAATCTTGCTGAAAACAAGGAGGACTTGAAGCACGTGCTGATGAAGATGAAGGCTGGCAGATCTTAGCATGGTTTACAACTCAATATCTTTAAAAAATCTCACAACTGGCCCAATAGACAGCATCGTGACAAATGGAGATACGAATGACATTGTCAAGGACTTAATCTTGCTAAGATCCACACCCAAGGCTCATGGAAGCAGCAGTCACGAAATTAAGCAAATTATGACATTGGGCAAATCTGCTACATGAGACATCTTCAAAGCGTTGAAGAGCAAGGATGTCACTTTGTGGACTGAGGTGAGAACTGGACATGGACTAAGGGAGACCAGAGAGGGACGGGTGCAGTTGAATTGTGGCGCTGGCGAAGAATACTGAAAGCTCCACGGAGTGCCAGGAGAACAGACTCATCCGTCTTGGAAGGCTAGCTAGAATGCTCCTGAGACATAAGCCTTCTTAGACGTCCTTGTTGTCGGAAGAGACCAGCGCCTGGAAGCGGACGTCATGCTCAGCAACGTAGGCGGTCAATGAAAAAGAGGAAGACCACCGGTGAGATGCGTGACCCAGCGGCGGTAACAACGGGTTCAAACATAACGAGAGTGAGGATGGCGCAGGACCAGTAGATGCTTTCTTCTGTTGTGCGTAGTAGGGTCACTCTGAGTTGGAGTCAAGTCACAGCACCCGACGACGATGACGACAACAACAACAACAACAACAACATTGCTTAAGTCTACCTAGGCTACTGTTGCCGTGTGTTGTCATGGAGACAGCTTTGACCCATGGCGACCCCAGCTCTGCACCATCCCCACCAACGGTTGCAGATTTGACCATGGTCCACCACCCGGGGGATCTTCAGGCCTTCCGTCTTCAGCCTGGGGAAAATACGTAAATCTCCACGGACGGATTAGCACAGTGGTGGGTGCATCGCCCTGGGACTGAATCCAGGTCTCCTCCATGGAAGGCAAGGATTCTACCTCTGCGTCATCACTGCCCCAACGCAGGCAATGCTCACGCGCAGCTCGACCAGAGCCACAGCCTTCCATGCACAGCATGGGCTCTGAAAGCCTCTGTCCCCCTCTGTCCTGGAAGAGTCCATCATTGTCATGCATCTGTTAAATTAAGATTTAAGATAAGGAAAAAATAAAGCCACGATTCCTTACCTACTCAACGTAGGTACCTGCCAACCTTAGAGCTGCTATTATTCAGATTGCAAAATGCCAGTTAGAATAGGCCCCACCAGGCCTGATCAAGAGCTGCAGCATAACGTAAGCGCTTGTCCCCAGGAGTATTACGGGCCATACCTGGATTCTCCTCTGGAAGACGAGTCCTTTTGGCAAACGGGATCCGGAGCCTTCTCAGACGACTTCGACCAGGGCGGAGGACAGGGACTGTGCTTGGATATCCAGAGCTACAATGATGACGTAGCACCGCACCATTCCTCAAATTGCCCCACAATGAGCTGAGTGGACTCCCACGTCCCAATAGCAATCTAACAATGCAAATACAAGACACATTGAGGTGCTTGTCCTGCGGCAGGGGTCGGCAAACCTTGGAGATGGAAGAGCCAATCCTGTCACTACAATTGAAAAATCACTCGAGAGCCATAAATCTATTTTTTACAAATATCCATTACATGAAACTATGATCGTTTGTTGTATGTACCGAAAGAGCCGCATATGGTGTGCAAGCTGCAGTTGGCCGACCCCTGTTCTCTGGGGTTGCACAGAGAACAGACAGAATGGGTCGAGTCTTAATTCCCCTGCTGCATAATCCAGAAAAAACAATAGCTGAAATGAACTTCCGGACATTGGAAAGCGATGCCAACCACCATTCTCTTGTACAGAATCGACCTAGCACCTAAGCCCATGTGGGTGTTTTGTTGTTGCTCTCAGATTTTGTTTCGATTTCTTAAGAAATTTCACCCAGAAAACAAGCCAGTTCTCTCTGCATCTGCAATCCCAGAAAACCCTCTGGAGGAAATTTAGCAGCTAGGAGGAAGCTGCAACTCTTGTTTGAAGCTTTTAAGCTCCATTAAAACTTATTTACTTTAAGTATCTGAAAGCACTTAATCCCTCAGAAGTTCCAAACAGATCCAAAAGGGAGTCCCTGCCCCTCTCTCCCTCTCAAGCAAAGGATCCACAGGGGTGGGGGTGGGGAGGGAGGTGTGTGTGTGTGGGGGAGGGGGGGGGAATGTTCAAACCCCAGGCACTAGGACACTGCCACCCTGCCTACCAGGAAAGGAATGCAGACACAGGCAAGCGGAGCACTGGAGAGACTGGAGAGGGATCAAGGGCACCAAGAGACCAGTTCCCAGCAGCCAGGGGTGTTCTGGGAAGTCAAAAGCCCCGCCCTTCAGGCTGCAGAGCCAGGCATCCCTCTTCTCAGCTGGAACCATGGACTTCTGCAGTGGTAGAGAACATGCCAACTCATCCATTTTTTAAACTGCCATCCAGCCGATTCCACAGAGTGCTGCACAGTCACGATAGGAGTCAAAGGCCTCATCTTTCTTCGGCAGAGCAGCTGCTGGTTTCAAACTGCTGACCTTAAGGTTAGCAGGCCGACACTTCTCCCACTTCGCCACCAGAGCTCCTCACTTTAGAGATGGAGAAACGGAGCCCTTGGGCAGGGGGAAGGGCTTGTTTGAAGGTAGAGCCTAGATTAACTGGAGCAGAACCCAGATTTCCTGGCACCAAGTTCAAATGCCGCTTTCGTCTTCCTTCAGCCAGAGCAGTGTCAGCTCCTCCCCCCAAAGGGACTGAACGCTGACAGGATGTCCAAGGGGCAGCCCCCAACCCCTCTCTGCCCTTCCCCAGGCCCATCACTCTCCACTGACACAGCACTTTGATTCCTGAAAGCATTATTCTCCCTTCATAGAGCAGCACTGGTGGCATAGTGGGTTAAGTGATGGGCTTCTAACCACAAGGTCAGCAGTTCAAAAACCACCAGCTGCTCCGAAGACGAGGCTTTCTACTCCAATAAAGAGTTACAGTCTCGAAAACCCACAGGGTCAATTCTACCCTGTCCTATAGGGTCGCACTGAATTGGAATAGACTCGATGACAATTGGTTTTAAAGTTTGTAGATTGGGCTCAGATCTAACAATTATGGCGATGGCGTCTCATGGGCAGTGTTTCATTCTATTGTACACGGGGTCGCTATCAGTTGGAACCAACCTGATGGCACCTAACAATAATTAGCCTGAAAGTTTGGCACTTTAAATCCATGGAACAATCCCACAGAAGAAAGACCTGGTGGTCTGCTTCCGTAGAGATTACACTCAAGAAAATCCTCTTGTGTTAGACAGGGTTGACTAGAGAAACAAATCCAGAGACATGTATATAGGTATAAGAAAGAACTTTATATCAAAGAGTACTTGGGTATTAAGAAAACATCCCAGCCCAGTCCAGATCAAGTCCATAAGTCCGATAGCCCCCAAAGCCTTCTTCAGACTCATTCAGTCACATGCAATGATGCAAAAATGCAGGAAGATCACAGGCCGGTGGGTGCAAAGTCTTGTGGATCCAGTGGTGGTGGAAGCATCTGGGCACTGGCACCAGTCACCATGTGGCTCCTCCAGCTCTCCAAGTGTGGCTCCACCCAGCTTGTCAACAGGAAGACCAGGGCAGGGAGAGTGTGTGTGGCAGAAAGGGAGGAAGCTCCCAGAATCCTCATGAGAAGACCACGCCCACAGGGAGGCATCATCAGACTGTGATCTGATTGACAAACTAGACCCCACCCCTACACTTATTTATCAAGTTGGCATGAAAGTATGTAACTCCCACACCTATGAAAAAACAAAAGAACACGCTGTGGAGTGGCCCACTCGTACCACGTGGGGTTGCCATGAGTCAGTATCACCCATGGGTGTTAAGGCATTTATATTTGCTGCTATCTTAAAGTGTTTAACCTGAAGGCAGCCCTCCATTTTCAAAGCTCAGTATGCACCTACCACTGCACGCTTTGTGGCCATATCCCAGAGTGTCTTGTGAGGTTGATATGCGATTGTGCACGGGCATGTCCTGCTTTGATGAACAAATCCCCCAAGCACCCTGCTTCGTATTCCTTGATGTGGTCGGCCGCCTTTAGCAAAGCTCTCTTCATAAACGGGAGCCACACGCTCTATTCCCGGAACTCGGAAAGAATGTTTAAGTGGTCCTGCTGAAGCGAGGGCTGCAGAAGTGGCTGATCCAGAAGGCAGGGGAATATTTAGGGCTGACATGCAGCCTGCCTGGGGTTTCTCAAGTGAAAGACCGTCCACAAAACCAAAATATATTAGCCAACCACAGAGGTTTGAGCTGGAACCTGGCCTTGAGCAAATAAACACTTTGCTGATCGCCAGCCAAATGCTTAGCTGATGACTTTCATGAACCCTGCTGGAGGATGTATGCATCGTCAGCACGGGCCTGGGACTCAAACCTCCCACAAGCTTGATGGGAGAGGATCTGGGAAGTGGGGTGGGGTGGCCCCGAAGGGTGTGCAGAGATTGAGAAGAAGCCATTGCCAGCTTACAGTAACCCTAGATAAGTGTCCCGGGACTGCACATCTTTATGGGAGCAGACAGCCTCATCTTTCCCCCTTAGAGCAGCGGGTGAGTGTGAACTGCTGACCTCATGGTGAGCAGCCCAAGCCCTAACCCACAGCACCACCAGCCCTGAGAAGAAGGTAGAACAGTAAGCGCATCCTCCAAGGAGGTTGTACCTCCAGCCCCCACACCAGTCACAGGGAAGGCCCACGGGACTGGCCAAGAGATACCTGTTGGGCATCGCCTCTCTGCCCCCTGCATGCACCTCCGGGGTGTGAGGAGACATGACACAGGGCACAGGTGCTGTTGCTGTTACTGGTTGTCATCGGGGAGAGTCTGACTTACGGGGCCATGTGCCTGCAGAACAGAACGAACCGCTTCACAGTTTAGGACTCAGTCACCAGGTGTGTCTTCCAATGTGCCTCCAATGGGTTCAGACTGCCCACCTTTAATAGTTGGACACGTGGCCATCTGCGCCACTCAGGGGCCCCTGGGCCCATGCAAACAACCAGAGCAAGCTGGCATGCCAGGGTGAGCTGTGGTCCTTTACAGTGGAGGCTCTTTCTGAGACCTGATGAGCAGACTAGTATGAACCAACTAATTGGGCACCAGGTCCCCTTGACTGCTTGCTACTCCCTGCACTTTGTGCCCAAGGGCTCCGATGCTTGAGGTCCATGCTCTCAACTTCCTTCCATACTCAGGGTCTCCGTTCCTGTTTCCAAGGCACCAAAAGGAATTGAATCTACCTGAGTCCAGCCAGCTCATTGGGAAGGAATCTGGGTGCCTAAGAGTACCCTACCCATTTCTGTCCATCTGTCCCAGCAAGCACAGAGCAGGTGCTAGGGGGTCAGCAGCCCGGACTTCCGGTCCTGCTTCTGCTGTCTTGAGCTTTGTTCGCTGCTCGATTCTTCATCTGAACACTGAACGCATTCTAGGAAATGTCTATTTCCTAGAATTCTTCCACAGAAAGCTTATTCGATTGTTGACGAGGTGGCTGTTGTCAGGGGCTGTTGAGTGAGACCCTACTCATCGTGACCTGCACACAACGGAACACAACACTGCCGGGCCTGCACCGTCCTCAGAGGCCTGGTTATGCCAGCCCATATTGTTGCAGCCACTGCTGTTCCATCTTGCTGAGGCCGCCTGCTTGTTCACCGATGCTCTATCAAACATGATGTCCTTCTCCAGGGACTGGTCCATCCTGATCATATGGGCAAGGGACAAGAGACAGAGACTCATCATCCTTGCTTCAAGACATCCGTTTGTTCTTCCGGGAGTCCACGGTCGATTCAGTATTCTTGACCAACACCACGATTCAAAAGCATCAAGTCTTCTTCTGTCTTTCTTAGCCTTTGTCCAGCTTTCGAGTTCATAGGAAGCAACCGGAAATACTATGCTTTGTGCCAGACACACCTGGTCTTCAGAATGACATCTTTGTTTTTTCACACTTTCAAGTGATTATTTTTATCATTTTATTAGGGGCTCATACAACTCATCACAAT